TGTGATCATGAGATGGTGATGGGATCAGGCATCAAAGACCAAAACCAAAAAATCATATCAAAGTGAATGAGGGGGAGGGTGGAGCGGAGACCCAAAGTCCATCTGTAGACAACTGGACATCCCCTTACAGTCGGGTCACAAGGAAGAGACGGGCCAGTCAGGGTGCAGTATGGCAACAACAAGACACACTACTTTCCTTTGTTCTTCCTTCCACCCACTGTCACGACCCCAATCCTACCTTACAGATCCAGCTAGATCAGAGCACGTACACGGGTACAGATAAGAGCTCACAACACAGGGAATCCAGGACAGAGAAACCCCTCAGGACCAATAATGAGAGTAGCAATACCAGGGGGGTAAGGGAAAGGTGGGAGGAGGAAGGGGGAACTGGTCACAATGATCTACATATAACCCCCTCCCTGGGGGGCAGACAGCAGAAAAGTGGGTGAAGGGAGACAGTAGTCAGTGTAAAACATGAAAAGAATAAAACAATCATTTACAAATTATCAAGGGATTATGAGGTGGGGAGGGAATGAGCGGATATCTAGGGCTCAAGTAGAAAGGAAATGTTTTGAAAAAGATGATGATGACATATGTACAAATGTGCTTGACCCTATGGATGGATGTCTGAATTGTGATAAGAGCTGTAAGAGCCCCAATCCTCATTATACCAGTCAACCACAACCTAGACCACACTAACAGGACAAAACCATGACCACGATCTGTAGGTCATCCCCACCCCCCAGCAGAACAGGATTTTAAAATATGAGACATCCTCTAATTTAACCACAACCTAACATACTTGAACAGAGGTGATGAAATCACTCTCACAGTCATGCATTCATTTCTCTATCCAAAACAACATTCTCACACATCTTGGAGAACAGAACAAAATATTTACCCTTAGTTGAACTTCTCAAAGAAGTTTTGTGACATTTTAAAAATAAGGTTATATTATGAAAAGTGTGTATCACTGAATTAGTAAAAAACAAAATCAGAAAGCTAATGACTACAGATATCGCATCACCTAATGTTAACCAGTTACTACTTGAATCTTATTAAAAGCACTAAACATCAGCATGGGTAAGAAGGAAAAGAAGTTTGAGAAAGTGCAGTGATACTGGAAAGGAAATGTCAACACTTTGGGGTTCTGGGTCAAAACAGGCACCAAGACACACTGCAGAAATCCCTCTACAACAAACAAGGAGATCAACACTAAAGAGAAGCCAGGTGCCTTGAGTTTTAGGAGACAAGATAAAGGCTAAGTGAACAGTCTTTCATCCCCCAGAGGCTGTGGGGGCCAAAGGCGGGGAGGGAGGGAAGACGGCCCGCTGTGCCGGGGAGGGCAGTGGAATGGGAGCCCAGCAGGCCGTTTCCCAGGGATCCAGACCACTGGAGAAGGCACACGCCCCGCACATTTGCAGGTGAACTGAGGCACAGGGTCAGTGTGAGGTGGTTTTCTTTTCTGTCTTTTTGTTGCTGTTGCAACTTGTATTCCTCATTGAACCACTAAGGCTCACTCCCCAGCCACGCTATTGCCTGAAGTTAACAAACAACAAAAGAAGGCTTTTTTTCCCTCCTCTATAAACCCTAGGAGCTACGGAAAGGGATGCCAGCTACAAACTCCTGGAAGTTCTCTCCACTGGCGCGGAGGACCTGCTCACATAACCCTGGAAAATTACTCCCACCACATAGTCATCCACTCTCCCATCCCCAAAACCACTGTTCTCTGGGGCTGAGAGAAGAGCCCGGTCAAACAATGCACTTTTTGCCCCCCTTTTCTTTCTGTGTGTG